CCTCCCCCACCCCCAGGGAGCTGAGCAGCAGCTACTGTCAGCGTAATCCTGGACGTCGTGGAAGTCCACACGGCGACGCCGCCTGTCCTCCTCTAGCAGGTCACTCTTGGTGCCACAGAGGTAGATCTGACAGCCCTAAAGCAGAAGACAAGGTCAGGGCCACCCCCACGGACCACTGGAGCCCCAGTTCCTGGTCCTCTGGTGAGGTCTGGCTGCCTACCTCCTCTAGGTTGCGCAGTTCCTTCACCCAGAACTTTGCCCGCTCAAAGCTGCTACTGTCCGTAAGGTCTTGGTATAGGACACGCAAGAAACACAACCAAGAGTCAGGGGCCGTTCTCTAAGGCCAGCCTGTCACCTACCCCTTCTTGTTTGAGGAAACAGGTCAGAACCCTCCTTACCATAGCAGACGATGGCAGCCTTGGCGCCCCGATAGTAGATTCGGCTCATGGCCTCGTAGCGCTCAGAGCCTGCCGTGTCCTGAAGGGCAGGGGGAGGCTCAGCCCTGGCCTGAGTTCCTGAGCTTACTCCCCACGTCCTCCAGACCCCCACTTTTAAACTGGGGTTTAGAGAGGAGAAACGGCCTCTAGGAAGCCACAAGTCAGTAATAGGCAAGACCTCCTCAGGAATGGGTTTTCCCAGGACTACTTGCCCACGGGACTTACCCAAATACCCAAAGTCACCGTCCGGTCTCCGACGGACATCACCTTGGCCACGAAGGCGGCCCCGATGGTCTGCAACCAGAGCGAAGGGCTCAGGGCCGCGGTGCGGGCTGGCCCCCTCCCCCCCGTGCCCAGCCCCGCGGGGCGCACTCACGTTCTGATAGGGCCCCACCAGGAAGCGGTCGTGCACGTATCGCTCCACCAGGCTCGTCTTGCCCACGTACTCCTTGCCCAGCATCACCACCTTGACGTCCACGCGCTGCCCGCTCATGCTCCCGGGGCCGCCTCACCCGCGTCAGGGGCCTGAGCGAGGGCGGGAGGCAAACCCGGATCTCCACTCAGGCAGGCTGCGCCCAAGCCTCAGTCCCCGAGCCGGGGCGCCAACTCGCCACTCGAGATACCGCGTCGGGCTCGAGCCCTGGCAGCGCTCCCGTGTGCCCCCGCTCTTCGGTCCCGGGCGCTGCTCCTCCTTCGAAGGAAGAGCCCAGGACCCGGGGCGGCCTGGGAGCGCGCGGGGCAGCGCCCTCAACGGCGCCGCACACCGCCGCCCGCTCGCCCCCCCGCCGTAGGCGCCGCTCCAGCACCGAGTCGCCACCCAGCCCGGGGCCCCTCCGACCAGCCTCCGGCCCGCAGCGCCGCGACTCCCGCGGGGGAAGGGGGGAGAGGTTGAGGGGGCGGGGCCGCGAGGTCACGTGTGCGGGCGCCGGAAGTGGTGGGTTTAGCGCGGCTGCGCCGGAAGTGGCGCGCGTCCCGACAGCTCCTCATGGCGGCGGTGGAGGCTGGTTGGGCGCGGCGCGGTGGTGACTGAGCTGCGACCCTGGCGGGCGTGCGCCGAGCCCCGGCCCGGCCTCCGCGTGCCCCCCGGGCTCCGCACTCCTGATGCTGCGCGGGTGCTGAGCCTGCCCCGGCCGGGACGATGGTGAAGTATTTCCTGGGCCAGAGCGTGCTCCGGAGTTCCTGGGACCAAGTGTTCGCTGCCTTTTGGCAGCGGTACCCGAATCCCTATAGGTACGTGGCCCTGGAGAGAGCAGGCCTCCCCCTCGCTGTTTGGAGTTCGAAGTGTGGGGCGGGAAAGACTCGACACTGAGTCCGAGGTAGGGGATCGCCGGCACCATGGCCTTCTTTAGGGCAGGAGGACCCTATCGGGGAAGGGACCAGGCCTGGCCTGCAAGGAACTTGGAAGGAGGCTGGGCCTGGGCAGTGGTTTACTTGAGGCCTTAGTCTAAGGTTCTCTGATCTCGGGGTGATGAGACAGGAAGAGGCGGTGGCACAGGAGCTGGGAGGGATCTTGGGGTTGGAAATCCGGGCGCTTCCCTACTACTCTGCCCATGGCGCGCTCTGGTGGTGCAATAAATCATGAGGCCCGGCCTTGCTGGATGGCCCAGGAATCCAGGTCAGCGAGGGGGCAGGAGTTGGAATTTGCCCCGGGATAGGCTCAAGGGACTCTAGTTCAGGTGTGAGCCACGGCACAGATCACTCTGCAAGTTTAGGGGAAGGCGTGGCCATTCTGGGCTGGGAGGCTCCAGATGGGAACCCCAACAAGCAGCCTTTCAGGGACAGGCTCCCAAGGGTCACCTTCACTCTGACACCTGCAGCAAGCATGTCTTGACGGAAGACATAGTACACCGGGAGGTGACCCCTGACCAGAAGCTCCTGTCCCGGCGACTCCTGACCAAGACCAACAGGATGCCCCGCTGGGCCGAGCGACTGTTTCCTGCCAATGTTGCTCACTCGGTGTACATCCTGGAGGATTCTATTGTGGACCCACAGAACCAGACCATGACCACCTTCACCTGGAACATCAACCATGCCCGGCTGATGGTGAGACCCTCCTTGATCCCCTCAAAAGTAGAGAGCTCTAGACTTGTGGCTAGGGAGCTTCTCTGGTCTGAGGCACAGCTGGGTTACTGATGAATGATGGCTGTAGAGTACAAACTCTGATGATCTTTTCAGCTGGTCAGCCTCTCTCAACCTGTCTTTTGACCCATTCCTACCGGGGTGGGGGAGCGGGGTACCTGTTTTAGAAAATTGCTGCAGGTAGTAAATGCAGAGCATTCACACTGTGCCTGGCACATGCACACGTTGGGCCCGCAGGAGTGATGCTGAGAGAGAGGGGCAGTGGTTTTCAAACGGGAGTCCATCAAGCAGTGCTTTGGATGTGCCTCAGTGCGGGCGAGGGTCTGGGCCCCTTTCCTCACGTTGGCTAGAGAAGTTCCACTTTTATCTGTCTTACGTAATAGATTTCTGCCTGAGAATTTGGGGGAAAAGAGGTTCCACGTACCTTTGATTGCTTGCCTTTCAAAAAGCTTGAAAACCTACAGTTTAGGGAACATTCTACAGTATCTTCTTACATGTGAATACCCTAAAAGCTTTCAGAGAACTCTCGTTCTCTTTCTCAGCTAATCTGTTACTCTCTATAGTGCAAAGAAGGAAGTGAGGTTCAGAGAGGGCTACTGTACTGTGAGGGCACTACCTCTGTTTTGTAAATTCCCAAGATAGCCATCCAGCTGTGAGAAATGTCTTTAAATCCAGCTGTGAGACACATCTTTTAAGTGTTTCTCTTGGAAGTACTGGTGCACGCTCTCCTCTTGTATTGAGAGCTGTGAAGATTGCCAGATTTCCGTTTTTACATGGACTGCCAGGGAGCTCAAGAGCTGCAGTGGGTAGAAGGCAGGCTAGGCTAAAAACACGGCACGTGTCTAGACACAAAGGTACAAAACAAAATCCAGGGCCAGAGGGGAGCCGGAAGGCCCCCTGCCTTCCATGTGCCTTTTAGTTTGAAGGGTCAGAGGAGAGGTTTTAGAAAGCAGAATGACCTTTTTTATGTTCTTACTCTCTTCCTGAAATGCAGCTTGGGGATGCAATAAGGGAAAGGAAGGGATTTTTGTTTTATTGCTTTCCCTCATGGAAAGAGACGGGATCAAATTTATGTGCAAGTTGGCAAAGTGAAAGACTGCCACATGATTGTGGTTGGCCCAACTCCCTGCACAGGTGGTGGAGGAACGATGTGTTTACTGTGTGAACTCTGATAACAGTGGCTGGACCGAAATCCGCCGGGAAGCCTGGGTCTCCTCTAGCTTATTTGGCGTCTCCAGAGCTGTCCAGGTGAGCAGCGTTGTGGGGTGCTGGGGCTCGGGGACCCAGAGCATTTCGCATAGAGGCTGGGCTGCGAGTCAGTGGGCAGCTCTGAATCCTTTCCCTTCTCATCTGTTGCCAGGAATTTGGTCTGGCCCGGTTCAAAAGCAACGTGACCAAGACTATGAAGGGTTTTGAGTACATCTTGGCCAAGCTGCAAGGTGAGCACTCTGGGCACAGACAGAGGCTGGGGTCAAGTCCTACTTGCCCTGACTGGTCTGGAGCGTGGCGCTGTCACCACCCCACTCTAAGCCTGAGATGCCTCATCTGTCCCCGGGGGCAAACGCTGCCTTTCCAGTGGGCTCCGCCCATAGGAAGTGAATGTCATGGTGGGTGACTGTGTGGGTCTTCATGGCATCCTCTGAAGCCAGCCCCTTGCCCTTTGCTGCAGGCGAGGCTCCTTCCAAATCCCTTGTGGAGACAGCCAAGGAAGCCAAGGAGAAGGCAAGGGAGACGGCACTGGCAGCTACGGAGAAGGCCAAGGACCTCGCCAGCAAGGCCGCCACCAAGAAGCAGCAGCAGCAGCAGCAGTTCGTGTAGGCAGCCTGGGCCTTAGGGCAGCAGCCCACCAGACCGCCCACCTCAGGCCCCCTGCCCTCTCCCCCTCGTACTTCATGATTAAAAGTCAACTTCCAGTCCTCTCTACTGTCTGGGCGGTGGGCTGGGGGTGTGTCCTTTTGGGCATCTACGGTGCACCAGGCACGTTACCAACATCTGAGCCGAGTCTGCTTATTCTCACATTGGGCAGCTGAGGACAGAGGCACAGAGAGGTGCAGTGACTTGCCCAGGGTCACAGACAGCGTGCGGGTGACATGGTCATAAATGCTAGACTGTACGCTCCACGAGGGCAGGACCTGTGTTTTGTTGTCCGATGTGTCCCAGGTACCTGGAACAAGGTCCAGCATATACCAGGCACTCAATAAATATCTGTTGAATTCAGTCAGCCCCAGCTCTGGAGTCGGAAAGCTTTGGTTCGTATCTTGACTCCACTGTTTCCTGGCTTTGGACCTCACGCTAGTCACATCACTCAGCCTCAGTCCCCCTGCAAAGGCAGGGCAGACGGCCTCCGAGCTGTGGGGGTTTAAGGGGCCCGGCCTGGCACAATCAAGAGTGTTAGTGGTGGCTGCTGGTTGCACTTCCTCTTTTCCAGTCTGTCTGTGGCTGGGAGTTCCCCCATTTTCATCAGGCAAGACCACGGACAGGAAGTTAAGAAAGAGGCTTTTAATGAAAATACTGTACAGTATCTGCGGAGCAAAGGCCAGGGGGCCTTGTCTAGGAAGAAACGTGAGGGCCCAAGAGGCTTCCTACCCTCATGGGGACAGCAGAGCCCAGTGCTTCAAAAAAGGCCTAGATGGGCAGCCCAGGCCCAAGCTGCCTGCCCTGCAGGGCTTGGGGGCGCAGGCCCCGTTCCCAGAAGGGACTCCCGGCAGCCAGCAGCGGGGTAGGGGGAGCACCTGTTCCCACACAAGGGTCCTTTTAGTCCATTCCAACAGGAGGTGACTCCGAGCAGCCCTTGAGGCTTGAGGAGGCTCCTCCCTGGCAGAGCAGAGGGTGGTCTGAGGGCAGAGGCCCGCTCTGGGGCGGCAAAGGTCATAGCCAGGCACCGCCGCAGTGTGAGTAGCTGTGCTCCTGGCCGGTGCTGAAGCCCCGCAGCAGCTCAGCCTCACCCCCGAACACCAGGCTCTCCACGTCCACCTCCAGCTCCTCTGCACAGGGAGAGGCCAGTCAGGAGACCTGGCCCACGTGGCCCACACGACCCCTCCACGTTAGGGCACTCACCTTGGTCTGAGTCGGAGCGCTCGGAGGAGAGGCCTGAAGAGTCCAGGCTGTCCGCCCGCAGCCGCTCCCGCTCGCCTGGCCCTGCCAGCCCCCGGAGCTGCTCCAGCTGCTGCTTCAGGCTCTGCTGCTTGCTGCGCAGCTTCTCCTTGAGCCTCCGGGCTCGCTGCTCCTGCTCCTCCAGTTTCTGCAGATCCCAAGGAGCAAGGGATCAAGGGGCCGGGGTCAGCTGCCCTGGGGGCTCAACACCACTGGCAGCAGGCCATGACCACTTAGTGACTCTGCCTTAGACGGGGACCTCCCTAAATCTGGGCCCCAGAGTGTTGCTCCCACATCCCCAGGAAGCTTGTGAATTCTGTCTAGATGGGTGGGGGAGGGAGGGCAGCACAATCTCACAGGCCTTCAGACCTGGCTGAGTGATGTGAGCAGGACAAGTGTGCTGGTGTGAAACAACGGATGGGGGACAGTGGCACTGGCGAGTGCATGGCTCAAGGAGGTGGCCACCTCCAGTTTCCAGCTAGTTACTGCCCTGTGGAAACAGGCCCAGTGCTGCCAGATCTCCCAATTTCTTCAAGAGAAGCTGGAAATTCAGATTTTTTTCATGTCAAATGTCTAAGTGCTGCCAACTAATTTAAATGTTTAGAAAACAGATCAAAGGCCACCAGTTTGTAACTCCTGGCCAAGACCCTCCCAGAAGCCCTAAGACTTCCTCATTCATCTCCCCCCCACCCCCACTGAGCTCTGCCAGCCCTGAATTCTAGGGAGGGAGGGCCAAGGGTTCTCCATCAGAGCCCTAGGTGGGCAGAAGCCTGCATTCAGCCAACAAGAAGGGGAGAAGTGGCCGAGGGGGCACTTAGACTGGGTGTAGAAGGATGAGTAAGAGCTGCCCAGGCAGGGTTGGGAAAGGAAGGCGTATCCAGGCGGAGGGAAACTGGGAAGAGCATGGAGGGTTCAGCGTTTTTGGTGGGGAATGGGGGTAGATGAGACCAAAAAAGCAGATCAGTGGCACGGCCTGAGTTGTGAAGGGCCTTGAGTTTCACGGGAGGTAAGGAAATGAAACTCCTGTCAGGCGCCTTGGAAGGTTTTTAGCAGGAGACAGACCTGCACAGATCTGTGTGCTGCAAAGAACATTGTAGGGCAAGGTGGACGACAGCCTGGTGGAGGCAAAACAGGAAGCAGGGAGTGCAGGAGAGGGCTGATGGGGCTTCAAGGAAGGAGCAATCCCCACATCCTGCCCACGGGCCACCAGCACCCGAGGGCATCTCATCCTCCGAGGACCAGGCCAGGCAAGCTCCATGTGAGAAAGCGGGGCCAGCCACGGCCAGGGTGTCATTCAGCCACAATGAGGGGAATGCAGGCACCGTGGGGCAGTGCAGACAGTTCCCATACCGTGATTTGTTTACTGCATGGTACCTGGATCTGTATCTGCCACAGCCCCAGAGCTGGCAGAACAGGTGCTCAATAAATACTTGTTGAAGGAAAGAATGCAAGTCAGGAGACCTGGGCCTGTGTTCAGAATCTGCCTCTCCTCAGCTGTAGTACCTGGTCCTTAGCTGGGCTGTGCCCCCATTTCTTCCTCTGTCAAAAGGGCCAGGAGGGCAGGAGAAGGCCTCCACTGTTTCCAAGGCCCTTCTACTCCCCGCTCTGATTGAGTCAGCACTCCCCACCCATGTCCACCAGGGGGCGCTGAGATCAGCCCAGCCAGCAGCAAGGGCCCTGGGAGGACGGTGACTGTCGTCCTCTCAGTCCTTCCCCCTCCTGGCTGCTGGAGCTGCCTCCCAAAGTGGCAGGAGGCTGCACTACCCAGAACAGGAGGGCTTGAAGGATGGGGGAGAGGGAGAGCAAGGACCAGCCCTCTGCAGTCGGAGGGACCCTCACACACGACCCATCACAGAATCTTTTCAACAGCCATACCCCCATACAGAGGAGGAAAGGAAGTCCAGGGAGGCTAAGTGACTCGCCCAGGGTCTCACAGTTGGGATCAAAGTAATAAGAGCTGTAATAACAACAGTGAATGGTTATTGGGCGAACTTGCTGAAGCCTCAGAACAATCCTCTGAGTTATTTTCTGCTTTTCTTCATACTTCACAAATTTGGAAACCGAATAGCATAGAGAACTGTCCCATGTCACCCATTCGGGCTGTGACCTGATGCCTCTCTCTCCAGTTCGACCCAGCCGCTCCCTACTCCTCCTGCTCACGGTCCCGGCAAGCTGGCTGCAGGCTGCAGGGGTAGCTCCCTACCTGGATGTGCATCCTGGCCCGGCGCAACAGGCTCAGTGTGGTGTATCGGGCACAGTCAGCCCCCAGGGGCATCTGCTGCTTCAGCTGCTCCAGGCACCGCTTCAGCTGGGCCCTCCTGTGGGGGAAGGGGTCTGGAGGGCAGTGCCAGCCCAGCCTTGCTGGCCAGAGGGACAGCAGGGGAGGGCAGTTGAGAGGGAGGAAGTTCCTGGGACGTGGTGCTGTCAGGGCAGGGCTGGGACTCACCTGCGCTTCTCCAATTCGTTGTGCACAGACCTGCCAATGCCAGGGAGGATGGGGTGAGGGGGCGTCAGCTACTGTCCACACCCTCAGTCCCAGGGTTTCCAGGAGCTCAAAATCCACCACAGATGTCTCTCCCAAACTAGCCCAGTGTGGGGACTTTGTGCTGGCCTTGGGCACCTGAGTCCCCAGACAGACGCAGAGACACACAAGGGGCCAAATGCTGAGAGAAGCCAAATGAGGCCCCCCACCAGCAGTCAGACAGGACTTCCTGGACAGAGGTGACAACTGAGCTGAGCCCAGCAACACAAGTTACTCAAAGCGGGTAGTGGAGGGAGAAGCATTCAAATTGAGGGGAACAGCATGTGCAAAAAGTTGGGACAAGGAGAGAAAAGGATTGGAAACCTGTGGGGGAAAGCAAATGGTTTGATAGGTGAAGTGTAGGGGTGAGTGGACGCGGGATCCAGCGCCTTGCTCAGAGTTCCTGACACATCACGGGTGCTCAAGATACAGTCCTTGAATGAATGGAAGAGTGTGTGTTTGGGGGGTGGGGAGATGGCAGGAGGATCTGAATGCCTCCAGAGCAGGGTACCTGGCCCAGAAGATGCAAGCAACAAGGAGGAAGTGGGCAGAGGAGCGGCCTGATGAGGGACGGCGCCCATCCCCCCTGCTCCCCTCCGCCCCCAGCCCTCCTCACCGCCCACTGTCCAGAGCGCCAGGAGCTTGCGGGGATCGCTTCCTCCTCCTTTGGACGGGGCCCGGACTGCGGTGCGGGCACAGGGACGCGTAGCCATGCTCGGCCTCTGCCAGAGAGAGCCCCCGCCCGCGTCAGGCTGGGGCTGGTCCCAGCGGGCGCCCCTGGCACAGCACGGTCAGGGAGGGGCTTTTGGCGCGAGGGCCATTTCTCCAACCCCTCCCAGGCCGACGGCCCGCGGACCCCTCTCAAGTGGAGGGGGCGCCCTGGGGCTACTGCCTTAAGGCCATGCATCCTTCAAGTTGGGATCCAAGTCCAGCCCAGGCCCGTGTCAGCGAGGTCGCTGCCTGGAGTCCAGCCAAGGGTTCTTCCTCACCTCTCTCGCGGCGCTCCAGGAACTCGGCCGCCTGCAGCAGGACCTGGATGTTGCTAGCCACGGGTTCCATGTCGGCGACAGCTGGCGGCGGGCGGGCCTGGGGTGCTGACCAGAGGAGCGGCTGCACCACTTTTGTTACAATGTAACTGACACGGTGCAACAAACACAGGCGGCCGGCCCCGCCCCCGGGTCGCCCCGCCCCCGGGACGGCCCAGCTCTGAGCTCCGCCCCCCCGGTATGGGCCCGGGAACCGCAGCCCACCCTCCGCGAACCTGCCCGCCCCAGCCCCCTCGGACTCCCGCGGGGCTGGGACGGGCTCCGGCTCCAGGCCCGGCCTTTGGGCGAACCCCTGGGCTGGTTGGTGCTGCGTCTTGCCCTCTCTGCTCAGCGACCCCGCACCGGTTACTTGGCGTCTCTGGGCCTCTTTCCAGCCCCGTGCTTGTGGGGAGGGCCCGGCACAAGGAACACTGCTTTGGGGGCCCACGGTCCCCGGGAGGCCCCTGACTCCGCCGCTGCACGTGGGCGCCGCGGGGGCGGCGCGGGCGGGCTCCCTAGCCCATTTGCCCATCGCCTCCGGCTGCTCGCTGTAGTCACCCTCGGGGCGGGGCCAGGCAGCCTCTGAGGCCCTATTGGCTGCGCGCGGCTCCGCCCTCTCCCGCTGCTGGTCAACACGTTCCGGCGGGAAAAGTAGCAGGTTTGAAATTTGAAAACCCGGGCGGTGGGGGCGGGATTGAGCGGGGAACGAGGCTGCAGTGCGCAGGCGCCGGAGGAGGGGGCGCGGGCCGGCTCTCGCGCTCCGGGGTCAGTCCCCTCGCCTGTCTGCCATCTGCCCCCGTAGGCCCTCGCCCAGCCTCGGCTGCCTATTGTGGCGAATGGGAATAGTCTCCTGGCTCCTCCTCCTCATCTTCAGGGAAGCTATCGTTGCTATGAAAATGGCAGTAGGGGACCAACTTGCCAAGCCAGCCATACCCTGGAAGCACGCGAACTGGCTGGCTAGAGAGCCCTGGGTTCTGGAGTCGACAGAGTTGGGTTCCTCTCCTGTCACCAATGTTCTCAGCCGGGTGACTCGGGAAGTGATCTCTCTTCTATAAGCGGGGGAAGCTCTGCGACAGCATTGTAGAAGGATCGGAGCCCAGGCCTAGGTCCTGCCCAGTATGTAGGAGCTGCTGATCTCTAGGGCCAGTGCGACCAGACGCAGGTTTCCTCCCACTGAGCCCTGGCTGCCTTACTCAGAGGCCACGAGCCCTTCTTTAACATGACTTTCTAGTTTCCCGAAGGAGTAGCTGCAGTGACTTCTAGGGGGAGCACCTGCAGGTGTGGCCACACCTCCGGGGACAGTGACAGTCTAAGGGTGGAAACAGGAAGATAAAAGCAGCTGTTGCAGGGTGGAGCATTACTGCCAGGCGGGGGCTGAGTCTGTGACTGGGAAATGGAGAGGAGGGAGCAGGAGGGACTAGATTGTTTATAAAGTGACAGTGCTGGGTAAACACATGGCATATGGCAGTCAGCCCTCAGTTCCTTGGGAAACACCTTGAGGTTTCTCTAAGAGTCAATCCCAGAGGAATCACTGACATGCTGAGCCAAGAACTGCTGCCCAGGCAGTCTGCCCACTCCGCCAACCATTCGCTCATGGAAAGGTTTGCTGAGCACTTGCCGGGCCCCGGGCACTGTGCTGAGGTATGGAGAATACAACAATGGGTGAAAGCAGACAGGGTTCCTACCTTCGTGGAGCTCGCAGGTGAGGAGAGAGACTCTGAAATAGTAATCACACAATTGAGTTACAGCTTTGACAGGTCTTCACAGGAAAAGACACAATGTGAGTGCATATCCTAAGGAACATTTGACCAGTCAGGGAGTTCAGAAAAGGTTTTTCTGGAGAGGTGGATGAATAGGTGTTATCTATGTATAGGAGGGATGTACGAGAATTCCAGACCCAGAAACAGTAGGTGCAAAGGCCCAGAGGCTGAAAGGAATCTATGCAGACTGAAAGAAGGCCAGAGAGAACTAAGAGTGTTGGGCAGGCTGATGCTGGAGAGACTGGCAGGGTCCAGAACAGGCTGATGGGTTCCCCAAACCCCCACCCACAATCAGTCATGTCTGAAGAAAGGAGTCACAAGGCTTGTGAATGAATTTCCAATTTTATTTCACTAGAGTCAGCACCCACACAGTGCAGGCACAAACCTACTAGTCAGACATCTGGGACCCAGGTGGCCTAGCCTTGGGGTGGGGGTAGGCTGGTGGGAGGATTCTGAAGGAGGAGAGTTCTCTGCAGAGTGAGGGACTGGGGGTTAAGGAAGTGAGGCAGGGGCTGCAAGGAGGGCTGGAGTGACCACCTCACCTTAGGGGCCACAGGTAGGATTCCAGCTAGGGAACAACACGGAGGCCAAGGTCAGCCTGGCCTCAGGCCCCTGTGAATCTGGGTGAGGGCCACTGGCGAGGAGAACAGGAAGCAATACCTCCCAGGGAGCTGGGCGGACGGGGAAAGGGGCTCCTGCCCCATGCCCTCAGATGCCACTCTGGGCACCTTTGAGGAAATGCTAGTGCTGGTGCCATCTGGGTGAAGGTCTGGGCAGAGGACCTCTGGTGCTCCTGCCCCCTCAGCAGGGATTGCTCTTAAAACCTCTGTCCCAGACCCCCAGGTCCTCCACGGTCCAGCCTGAACACTGGAGCCCCATGGGCCCCCTGCTGGCTCCCCACCCTGTGGCCTTGCCTGCCCACAGTGACTGGCTATGCTGCCTGCACTTCTGGGCAGTTTCTGTTGGGGACTAGTGTCCTCCGAGCTCCAAGTGACAGAGCCTACATCTGTGCCCTGGGTGGGAGGTGAGAAGGGGACCAGAAGGGCCCCATCTTTTCCCACCCTATGCACAGGATGTAGGAGCTGGGTTCTGCCGTCCCCCCAGAACCTGCCTCTCCTTTCACCTTCTTCCCTGCAGGTGACAATAGCAGTGGGAGGTAAGGGGAAAGTTGGGGCAATATTGGAGCTGGGGCCTGGCTCAGATCCTTGACCCCTGCCCAGCCCCCTTCCTGGGCTCCCTGCCCCCAGTCTCTCCCCTTTACTCATCTCCTCTCTTCCCAGAAAGGGGCATTCCTGAGTCACAGAGCTAACCAGGTCACACCCCTGCTGAAAGCCCCACCCACGCTCCCCTTGCCCTCAGGACAAAGGTCAAGCTAGGCTGTGCCCCTCCTCCTGCCATGTCAGGTAACATGCCATGCCCTTGCCCATCTCCCTGCCTCTGCCAGCTTGGCTCAAATGACACTTTCTTGAGGCCTCCCTCCTTCAGGGCATCCTCCCCAAACAGCAGTGATCCTGTGTCCCTCAGGGTCAGCCTCTTCCACCTGACTATGACCGCTCGATAGAGGAAACCAGTACTGAGAAAAGGGGCTTGGCCAAGCCATGGGGAGGAAGTGGGGGTTTTGGTGGGCTTGGGTCTCCAGGCCTACAGGAGGCTGGTGGGGTAGCAGTCAGCAGACCCCCAAGTTGGAGGCCATGACTGGAATGCCACCCGCATGCTGTCAGGGGCAGCACAGCACAATGATTGACAGAACCGGGGGGGAGGAGCCAGCTGGTCCCTCATATGAAATTGCAGGGGAATAGGCCGCGAGGCAGGCCTGACTAGACTGAGTCTCAGAAGTGGCTGCCAGTCCCACTGATCCTGGGTGGGCCACCTGGAGTGAGAGGCCTCTGTAGGACCTGTAGTATATCCTCTTTTTCAGTCCTGACAGACGTGGCTTGTTTCCCTCTGTCTCTGTCTCTCTCTCCTTGATAAGTCTTGCTAGGAGTTTATCAATTTTATTTCAAAGAACCAACTGTGGACTTAATGTGCTCCTTTATTCCCAACTTCTTAAGGTGAAAATGTAGATAATTCATTTTATTCCCTTCTTCTTTTCTGCATATTGCTCTAACTGCATCCCACAAACTGTGATGTTTAATGGTTTTGTTTTGTTTTTCATTTAGAAAGAGATATTTTCAAATTCCTTTCTGATTTTTTTCTTTTATCTGAGACTTACAGGTAATTTGAAGTGTGTTCTTTAGTTTCCAAATATTTGGGAATTTTCTAGATATCTTTTTGTCATTGGTTTGTAATTTAACTCTATGGTGGTTAGAGAATAGGCTCTTATGATTTTGATCATTTGAAATTTATCAAGGCTTATAAAGTCCAGTTTATGATCTGTCTTGATGAATGTTCCATATGCACATGAAAATAACACACATCCTCCAGTTGTTACGTATAGTGTTCTAAAAATGTCAGTTGGATTAAGTTGCATGATTGTGTTGCAAAAAAATTTTAAATCCTTACTGATTTTTTTGTCTACTTGCTCTATCAATTACTGGGAGACAAGTGTTAAAATCGCCAGCTGTATTTGTGGAATTGTCTATTTCTCTCTTCAATTCTGTCACATTTTACTTTATTATTGGGAGACTCTATTATTGGGTGCATATACATTTATGACTATTATATCTTCTTGATGACTTAATTCTTTTAGCATTATGAAATATCCCTCTTTATATTTGGCAATCTCTTTTTCTTCAAGACTATTTTGATATTAAATAATTGCAACAAGTTTCTGTTGATTAGCATTTTTGTGGGGTTTTTTCCCCCTACCTTTTTACTTTTAACCCATCAGTGTCTAATATTTAACATGTTTTTCTTGCAAACAGTATATGGTTGGGGTTTTTCCCCCTGTGATCTAATAATCTCTGCCTTTGAATTGTATTTAATAAAATTATTTTGGTATGGTTGGGTTTAAGGTCTATCATCTTGATTTTTGTTTTGTATTTGTCCAATCTGTCCTTTTCCCGTTTTTCCTCTTTTTCTAACTTCTTTTGAGTTATTAGTCTTTCTTAGCATTCCATTGTACACCCACAACTGGCTTCTTACCTGTACCTCTTTGAAGTGGTCCTTTAAGTGGTTACTTTAAGAATTATATGTCTCCATTACAATCGACTTTGAATTAATATTATACCATTTTATAATGTATAATATATATAGTAACATCTTCCATATACACCATTATGCTTCTGTTACTCCCTACCATCCTTTTTACAACTGTAGTTAAATATTTTACTTCTACATATATTATAAATCCTAAAACACGCCGCCACAATTTTGCTTTAAACAGCCAATTGAATTTTAAGAATTAAGAATAAACAGTCTTCTACATTTCACCACACATTTACCATTTCCAGCATTCTTTGTCCCGTCTGTAGTGCTTGCTTTAATCTGGCAGCATTTCCCTTCAGCCTGAGGAACCTCCTTCGGCGTTTCTTACAGTGTGGGTCTTCAAACAATGCATTCTATTAGCTTTTGTTTATCTGAAAATGTGTTTATTTCATCTTCATTTTTGAAGCACATTTGTACTAGATATAAGATTCTAGGTTTAGCAATGCTTTGATTATGTCACTCATTTGCCTTCTGACTGACATTTTTTTTCTAAGTCAGCTGGACTTATTATCATTCTCCTGTGTATGTAGTGTGTTTTTTTCCTCTATCTACTTTTAATATTTTCTCTTTAGCTTTGGTTTCCACATCGTCACTCCCTGACTAGCCCACGGTCCCTGGGCAAACAAAGCTGTCTCCAGGAGC